GTGTGTGTTTGTGTGTGTATGTGTGTGTGTGTGTGTGTGTGTGTGTGTGTAAAAACTATCTGGATACCCAGTGGAATAACTTGTATAACAGAAGCAGAATAACTGATTCTTTATTTGTCAGTTTTCAAAATAATAAGTGGTTTACTAGCTTCATCCATTGATGATTTTTTTTAATATTATTATGAGCTCATGGGAAATGTGACAATTTCACAGACAATTCAAATTTGATGTGTTTCAGTCCATTGGTTATTATGCTTACTGATGCCCAATATGTCCCATCTATGACCAGTGGGAGTCTCTTCAAGTTGGCTCCTGAGACTTTTTGACATTGGCTGTAGTTTTTGATAGTTTCCTTGATAGTATAACAAAATGTTCCAGATTTTTGTATATTTCTTTAACAGACTTGTAGTTAGCTATTGCGCTGAGGATCCCTCATTCCTTTTAGTAAGATTGAATTTCAAGACACAATCTGTGTGCTAAGGATGCTCATTATTATTACGTTGGTCTTTGTTTTGAGTCCTTTCAGTAAAAAAAGCTAGGCAATATGTTTTGTTTCCTCCCTCCCTTTCTTTCTTCTTCTCTTACCCCCTCTCTTTCCTTCCCTTCCATAATTCAATAAAATAAATCATGAGTTTATACTGATACTTAACTTCCATCTTACATCTTTAATTCATTTTTCACACCAAGAATCCTGATGTCAAAACACCAGCGTGATAAAATTTGAATATCACATAAATCTTCACGTTCTTTACCCCACTTTACACATACAGTAGTTTTAGAATGACAACCCTAATCCTAATACCAACAACACAATTACTAACAACAATTATTTTAGTTTTTTAAACAGATCTTTTTCCTTAGGGTATACAGCAGTTACGGATTTACTGTCAAATTACCATGTTTTAAAGTCACTTGGAAGAGTTATTTTCTGTGTAGTTGAGCCACACCTGGACACACATTACAGTTTTGTTTCATTTTATTTCTGATTTTTAGGGATTTCTTTTTTCCATTTAGTTTTGTTTTATAATTAACTTTGAAAGTTCATAATCTTACTAAGGATAGTCTTCATGTCAATGTTTTGGCGTTTTTTTGTATGCAATCTCTACGCTTCTGAACTTCTTTTATATAGACCTGAAAATGAATCAGAGTAAGATCCACGTTTAATCATAGTTCTGACATTTATTTGCTGTATCTCTTATAGAAATTACACAATGTCTCAAACCAGCATTTCCCATATGTGTTTCATGGACCACTCCGTAAGATGGGAAGTAGGAGGTAGGGTGGAGTGTGAGGATAGGATACCATGGTCAAATAAGTCTGAAAATTCCATATTCTCTTGGAGAATCATGATGTATATAACACATAAAAGGCTCTGAAAAGACCTGGAGTGAGGAATCCTTTTTACATTAGTGTAACCCATTGTTTTCAAACTTATTTATCTCTGCATTGAGACTTTTTTTTTTTTTTTTTTACAATACATATTTCACTGAATGAGAGTTCTATGGAGCATACTTTGGGAAATGTTGCTCTCAAGTTTTCTTGTATGTCAGAAAGGGATAATAATACCTGTTCTACCCTTCTCTGAGTTATTGTCTGGATCAAGTGAATTAGATATGAAAGATTTTTAATATATAAAAGAGGCTACTATTTTGCTAATGGCTCTAATCAAACTTGGAAATGTGGGGGTTAACTCTAACTCTATGCTACTTAGGTGGACTTATTCCTTGGAGAGGGCAAGTGTATAATGAAACTTGGGAGATTGCAAAATAAAGAAAAATGACATAAAGGATCAAATTAAGATGTACAGACTGGTAAAATGATTCTATTTCAAAGAACAGCTATGACCAGATGAATGATTTTCACCTAGACTCAGGGAAGCCCTGGGCTTGAGATAGAAAAGGGCTTGTTTTCTTAGTGGGGAAGTAATCTAGGGAAGGAGCGAGAAACTACCATTAAAGTATGATTTGTGTGAGGAAGTTTGCCTAGTGCTTTGAGTATTGACAGTACCTTTCTTAAGGTATATATTAGTTTATTAGGGCTGCCATACAAAATACCACAGATTAGATGACTTAAACAACAAAAATTTATTTTCTCACACTTCTGGAGGCCAAAAGTCCAAGATCAAGGTGTCAACAAGGTTGATTTCTTCTGAAACCTCTTTCCTTGGCTGTAGATGGTCATCTTCTCCCTGTGTCTTCACATGGTCTCTCTGTGTATGGGCATGTCTGTGACCAAATTTCCTTTTCTTATGAGGAGACCAGTTAGATATGACTAGGGCTTATCCTAATGACCTCATTCAAAATGCATTTACTCTGTTATGTACAGGTACTGGGCTTTCAGAGATGATAGTATCTATTAGAGGGAAAGAGCAGGAGTAGGATGTAGATGTACTGGTAGGGCAGTTCAGCTATGAATCAGAGGCTCTGAAGTCCCTTCTGCTATTTATTCAATGAACATTTTATTTATTTATTTAAGATTTAATTTATTTATTTGACAGAGAGAGACACAGCTAGAGAGGGAACACAAGCAGGGGAAGTGGGAGAGGGAGAAGCAGGCTTCCCGCTGAGCAGGGAGCCTGATGTGGGGCTCGATCCCAGGACCCTGGGATCATGACCTGAGCCGAAGGTAGACGCTTAACGACTGAGCCACCCAGGCGCCCCTCAATGAACATTTTAAGTACCAACTGTGTTCGTCATACTCTGCCAGAAGCTAGGCAGAAAGGAGAGAGGCTTATACCAATTACATCATTTGAAGATGTATATTTCTCACATATTAATATTTCGAAATTATATGTTTCACAGTCATAACTAGTTTAAATGGGAACCTTCTTACTTAGTGGTACATAAAATAATGGTGCTTCCTACAATTGATAGAGTCATTAAGATTCAACAAAGCTTGATTTTTAGTCTGCCAAACATGGTTCTTGTCCACAGGATGCTTAGTTGTATCTTGCAATGTCCTGGATTTCCTCCTAGGGTTGTAACCATGTAATATCCTTCATTAGCTTGTATTTTTCCTTCTGACCTTAAATATGGGTTTACTGAAGTATGGTTGTCTATTCTTCCACTGTACTGTCTCCCTCATTCTTCAGCCAAATGAAAGACTTTCATATCTCTATCTTCAACTCTCATTTTTTTCTAGACTCTGATTCATAACTGGTACCTGAAGATTATTGACTTGTTGTCCTGCTGTCACCTCAAACTTAATACAATGCATTGCCTTTCCCTCTAAGCCAGCTTCTCCCTAAGCTTACCTAGATCTTTCAGATCTTCTAGTAATTTAGACTTGAAATCTTGGAGTCTTCCTTGATTTTACCCTCTCCTTTGTTTCACTTCTTCTATGTATATACTGTTACCAGGACCTGCCCATTCTTCGTTGCATTGAATTTTTCTTTTCCAGTACCACTATTACCATCTCAGACCAGGCCTTTGTCTAATCATGCATGGACTACTATAATGATTTCTACCTCTTCTTCTGATTCATCTTATCCATTATCACCACTTTAAATTTTCTCTAACACTGTACTGTACACTCGAATCCCTGCTAAAAGTCATTTATGGGCTCCTTACTGATCATTGAATAAATTCCAAAGACCACAGCCACCATATTCAAGGCTCTCCACAATTATTCCTTTCCAGCTTCATCACCCACCATCTCAACTGGAGATGTTCTGCACTTTTCAGCTGCCACAATTTTGACTTGAACCATTTTCCTTTGCCTGGAGTCCTACTCCCATCCTCCAGGCTTTCCTTCAAAGCTCGGCTGACTGCTCCAGGGAAAGCATTCCCTGATAGTTTTTAATTTACAGTTTTCATTTCTTCTCTGAACTCCTACACTACTTAATGCATATACCAATAATCTGACATTTAGCATGTGCTCCCTTCTATTGCTTTCTATCCTTTTATGCATGAAAATGTCTTTCCAATGAGAAATCTCTTGAGGGCAGGGACTTGGCCATATTTCTCCATATTTCTAGTACTGATAGTCTTTTATTTTTATTTATTCTTTTTTTTTAAAGGATTTTATTTATTTGAAAGAGAGACAGCAAGAGAGAGCACGAGCAGAGGGTAGAGGGAGAATCAGGCTCCCTATTGAGCAGGAAGCCCTAGGTGGGGTCCCATCCCAGAACACTGGGATCATGACCTGAGATGAAGGCAGACGTTTAACCAACTGAGCCACCCAGGCGCCCCTCGGCAGTCTTTTAAATATAGAATAAAGTTTTAGATGTGGAAGTTTACATAGACCTATCACTCATTTCACAGATGAAGAAAAATAGATCTAGAGAGTTGTGCAGACCCACTTAATATACAGCCATAGTCAAATATTTGCCGGTTTTTATAGATTATAAATCAGAGGGGTTGGCTTATAGAGAATGGCAGGATTCAGCAAAGAGGAATGTGTGCATTCACTGAACAAAGGAGGCAAGGTAGTTATTTTGGGCAAGTTTGGGAATAGGTGATCCAAGCTGCCTGACCGGAAAGGTGTAGTGGCTACTTGAGGGCAGGGCTGTTCTTTTGTATAACCCACAGGCTCAAAAATGGTTGGACGTTTAATGTTTCTTACACGAAGTGACTTACCAGCCTTAATACATTCTTCTTCGCAGGCATGTGGCTTGAAGAAAGTGAAGCAGGTTGGCTTTCTGGCTCCTTGAGGGTACAGGCACAGAGGAAGACCCGCTGCCCGGTGGTGAGGATTAGCCAAGGGCTCTCCACTCTGTGAAGAGAGCCAGGACCCGCCCCTGGCAGGAATCCGTGGACTAAGCAGCCGTTCAGGACTTGGCCATCATCCCGGGAAAGAAGAGCAAGGGGCTTTCCACCTGCCCCAAGCCTAACCCGGGGTGGGAGGCCTCTCGCGTTCCAGCCGCCGCTGCTCCGCCTCCTAAGCCGGCCACCTCCTCTCCGCGCCTTTTCCCGGCCCCTCCCCTCACGTTCGACGGGCTCGCTCCCGCGCTCGGCGCGCGCGCACGCGGAAGCGGAAGGCGGAGAGAAGCGCTCCGCCGCGGGGGCGAGCGCGCAGGCGCCTTCTTGGGATAGCTGTGGGCGCGACTCGTAACGTTCCGCGGGCGGTGGGGTAAGAGGCCGGGATCTTGGGGCGTCTGGGCTGCGGGGCCGGGGTGCGGAGGGGAGGGGGACTTGCGACGCGGAGCGCTCCCGCGTGCAGTTCGCAGCCCGGCTCCAGGTCCTGCTCCTCTCAGAGGGGCGGCTGGCGAGGCCTCCCCGGGTCAGCTTGCTGGCTCGCTTGGGGGTCGGGTGACGGGGCGTGCTGATGGTGGTGGGACCCCTTGGCTTGGCAGCGGCCTTTGCTCCTTTGACGCCCTTGTTCCTCCGGTCTTGAGGGTCTGGCCCGCTGGAGAAAGGGAGGAGAAACGTTAGGACGGCCCCTCGGGGATAGCCGCACTCCCGGGATGTTGTGTCCACCTTGGGGGAAGGACCTCTCAGACTAAAAAGAACAAATTTCGGCCCTGGAAGTGAACCGCTGAGGTTTTATTTTTGTTTTTGATCGAAATGTCGCTGAGGTTTTGTTTTATTTTTGCTTTTGTTCGAAATCTAATCTTAGGGCAAAGTAGGACGGAAAACTTACCCGTCACATGCGTAAAGACTTCGTGTCGTGTGGATGGTTAGAAAGTTACTGTGCTTTGCAGATGGAAGAAGTAATAAAGCACCCTTGCTACTGTTCAGGAGATCCGTTAAGTCTCATAATATCTTTGGCCACAGAGGACTCGGTAAAATTAGGTACCTCCCTCTTCGTACACAGGAAGATCTCCATTCAGCAAATATTTTATGAGTACCTGCTTTTTGCATCATTGTTCTAAGTGCAGGGAACAGAGCCAGGGGCTAAGACGAGAGGATCCTTGCTTGTACGGAACTTACACTGTAGTTGTCAAATAAATGTAATATTTAAAAAAATGTGATTTCCTTTTATGCTTTTTTATTGGAATATAACATGTGCAATAAAATACAGCAATCATAAGTTGTAACTTGCTGATTCATTGTAAAGTAAACTCATCTTTTAACCACCACTCAAATCAAGAAACAACATTTGGGGCACCTGGATGGCCCAGTTAGTTAAGCGAGGGACTCTTGATCAGGTCATGGTCTCAGGGTGGTGAGTTCAAGCCTAACGTGGGGTTCCTTACTGGGCGTGGAGCCTGCTTTGAGATTCTCGCTCTCTCTCTCCCTCTTCCTCTGCCCCTCCCACACTCCCTCCCTCGAAACAACAAAACAACAACAACAACAAAAATACAGAATGTTCTCACCTTCCTCTCAGAAAGACCTCCCTGGAGACCTCTCCCAATCACCATCCTCTCTTCTCCCCAAAGGTAACCTTTTTATTGATACCTAACCATAGATAAGTTTTGTCTATTTATGAGCCTTCATAAATGGAACCATTTAATATGTATTCTTTGGTGTCTAGTGTCTAGCCTATTTTTTTTTTTTTAAGATTTTATTTGTGTCGGAGAGAGAGAGATTGAGTGCACAAGCAGGGAGAATGTCAGGGAGAAGCAGGCTCCCCCTGAGCAAAGAGCCCATGCGGGACTTGATCCCATGACCCTGGGATCATGACCTGAGCCGAAGGCAGAGGCTTAACTGACTGAGCCATCCAGGTGTGCCAAAGTGATTGAATTTTAATTTTTCCTCTTACCTTGCCTCTGTGATAGAAGTTCTAGTAAAATGATAAAAAATGGATGTGGTAGCAGGGAGGAAACGGCATTTATATAATCCAAATGTGAATAATATGTTTACATAGCCTTATTTACTGCTTTGAGTCATTCTGCCTAATTTAGATGCTAGACTTCATTAGTTCTAGAGTTGACTCTTGCTATATTTATTAATTTATTTTTGTTTTTTTAAAGATTTTATTCATTTATTCATGAGAGATAGACAGAAGCAGAGGGAGAGGGAGAAGCTCTGCAGGAAGCCTGACGAGGGGCTAGATCCCAGAACCCCCAGACCACAGACCCAAGCCGAAGGCAGATGCTTAACCAACTGAACCACCCACGACCCCCCCTTGCTATATTTAAATAAGAGAATAATTTTTGTCACTATATTGTATACTTGAAGCTGATATAATACTGTATGTTAACTACTGGAATTAAAATAAAAAACTTAATAAAAAAATAAAACTAATATATTTAATTACATTCTTAAAAAATTTTTTTTTACTCAGTAGGTGGAATGTACCAATTTTCCCCTAGTTTATTCAGTTGACTTATTGTATTTTTCTGGTTATTTTTAAAGTATATCCTGTGGTTAAAATGGCCCATAATTTCTCAAAGCTTTTTTACTTTTAAACCATTCCAACCCAAGGAAAAAACTGAAAAAAATGAAACATGTAAATGGTTAATTGCATCTTACTGCTTTTTTCTCTTAAGAATTGGGGTTACTGGGGTGCCTGGGTGGTTCAGTCGGTTAAGCGTATGTCTTCCGCTCAGGTCATGATCGCTCAGGTCATGATCCCGGGGTCCTGGGATTGAGCCCTGCCTGGGGCTCCCTGCTCAGCGGGGAGCCTGCTTTTCCCTCTCCCTCTGCCTGCCTCTACCCCTGCTTGTGCTCTCTCTCTGTGTCAAATAAATAAATAAAATCTTTAAAAAAAAAAGAATGGGGGTTATTACTTGATTCTTGTAAAGGTTCATTCTCTTAAGCTGGAAAGATGGTGTGGTTAGTGAAAGTATATTTTGGAAGGAAAGAAGTAAAAATTAAACTACATAAATTAGTGGACGACTTTCTCAAACTAAATAGAAAGGTAAAATTCCTCTCTCTGTATCAAAGATAAATCATCTCTTTGTTAACTTTTGTAGTTTTACTTTTACATGTAGATAAACATGCTTTAGATGGAATTGACTTTTCTACTATTTATATATATCTGTTGCTTTTCTTCATTCAGGATTGTTCCCTTGTAAGAAAGATCCTTACCACACCTTTAGATATTGAGTCCTATTTAATAGGGAGAGCTACCTTTTGAGGTATATTTCCCAACTTAGGACTAGGGAATAAAGAACTTAAAACTACCCACTTTTCCTCCTTTTCAACACCCCCAATTCTCCATCTTCCTGGTTGGTTTAATGAATTCTTTGTTATACTGTGCTCAGCTAACTCTTGGTCTTTCTTTTTCTTTTTTTTTTTCCTCTCCAGGCTACTTCTTCATAGACATAAAAGTCAGCATTTAACTGGAAACGAAGCATCACTTAAAATTCTCTCAAACTCCTAATCCCAAAGAATTGATAACTTTTCTCTGATGAAGAAGTGACTGACTACATGTTAAAAGTATCCTGGCACTGGTCCTGTTTTTTTCTCTCCTTAGAATTGAAGAAAAAATATGGAGAAATGGTACTTGATGGCAATTGTGGTCCTATTAGGACTAACAGTACGGTGGACAGTTTCTCTTAATTCTTACTCAGGTAACGCATCTTTACTGTTTAAAAGATGGGTAAATATTCCTTTGAATAGTTTCCTCCCCCTTCCCCTCCCCCCCTCCTTTTTGTAATAATTTATAGATATCTGACTGGGACAGAGAAGAATTTGAGGCTTTATTGGTATAGTCAAGAAAATACACTTAAACACTGAATTCTAGTAAAAATAATATGTGTAAGAGCTAAATAGAAGCATAGAGTTTATGACATGAGAAAACAAAAATGTATTCTAATGGGGAAGATGACAAGTTGAGAAATGATTACTCATGGAAGAAAGAACTGAGGTATTACCTCAAGGTGGGAGTGGAATCAAAAAGGCTTTTGTCTGTTTGTTTAAGGTAGAGAGAAGCCATGTTACTAGACTGAAGGGAAGAGACCAGTGGAGACTAAGACTGGGAATGATGTGAGAGAAAGGGAGGGAGAATTGATGGTATTTGGTCCTGGACAGGGGATAGGATTAGATTTCACCCTGTGAGTATTTATTTAGCACTGCTCATGTTCCAGGCAATGTGCTAGGTGCTAAAATACATGAATATCCGGTACTGAAAGGGTCCACATTTTAGTAGGTAAGTGGTCATAGGACAATGTGATTATTATGACTAGAAGTGTTTGTAAAGTACAAAGGTAACATAGAGAAGTGAATGACCAGGTTACATTAGAGAAAACTTCAGAGAAGATGATGTTTGAGTTCAAGGTGGAATGAGTTGGAATTTGCGAGACAAATGAAATGGGGAACATGTACAAAAACCTGGCAGAATGAGAGCATGGTTTTAAGTAGTCAGTATTGTTGTAGCATAAAAAGAAGGAATAAAAAGATGGGGAGGGAGCAGCTCGAGATTTAGCTATACAATTCGCTTGGCAAATTACTTGTGTTTTAGAAAAATAACTTTCGTTGTAATGAAAAAGGATTGTAGGAAGCAGGTTGGAGGTAAAGAGAATCATAATAATAGAAGTATAAGCTACTATTTTAAGTATTCATCATATGCTAGACACTGAGCCTTTTCTTTTACTTACGACTACTGATGATAGGTATTGTCTCTAATTTACAAATGGAAAATGAGACAACTGATAAATGACACCTGGGATTCAAATATAGTTGTATTTTATTCCAAAATCAGTGCTTTTAGGACACTACTCTGTGGCTTCTGAGAAAGAAGTCAAACCAAGCCAGCTAAAAGATGGATAAATGAATTTGAGGAATAGTGAGGAAGTAAAATAACTTGGATGCAGCCGTAGACTTGGGTTCAAATCTTAGTTTTTTTCCCTTGTTAGCTGCCGGATCTTAGAGTAGTTGCTTAATCTCCATGAACCTTTTACAAAGGTACCTCTTCTACAAAGTGGGAATATTAATATGTATTTTAACAGGGTTGTGGGGATTGCCTGAGATAATATGTATGAACTGTATTTTCTTTCTTTAAAGCATTTATTTATTTTTAAGGATTTTATTTATTTGAGAGAAAGAAAGAGAGAGAGAGAGAGCATGAGCAGGGTGGAGGGGGGGGGGTGGGGGGGGGGGGATAGAGAAGCAGACTTCCTGCTGAGCAGGGAGCCCAACACGGGGCTCAATCCCAGGAACCCAGGATCGTGACCTGAACTGAAGGCAGATGCTTAACCGACTGAGCCACCCAGGTGCCCTATTTTTCTTTTTAAAGATTTTATTCACTTGTTAGGGAGAGAGAGCAGAGAAAGAGAGAGAGAGAGAATGAGTGGGGGAGGTGGGGAGCAGCAGAGGGAGAGAGAGAAGCAGGCTCTCTGCTGAGCAGGGAGCCCTATTTGGGGCTGGACCCTGGGATCATGACCTGAGCCAAAGGCAGCTGCTTAACCGACTGAGCCAACCAGATGCCCAACGTATTTTCTTTTCTAGTAGTGTAGGAATATAATCAGCATATTAATGGTTCACAACTATTATCTTGTTTGATCCTTACATCAGATCATTTAACCCCAAAATGTTTATTGAGTGTCTGCTGTGCAGCAAAAATATCTTACTGGTGATCAAGTCCTTCCGTCTGGCTTTCAGGATGACCAAGATTAATAAATGGTATCTTCCTATCATATTGTGATTTATAAGAAATATGTATTTGGTCTCTGTCCTCCTTCTGGCACAGCCCCTAAGAACCCTTGGGATTTTCTAAGTGAAAGTGATAAAGTTGTCTTTTGTTATGGTAATGCTGGCTTTTGGATCCACCTAAGGATGGGGACTGGTTGCCAGGAAAACCAAACGGCATCATTTGAGGGTTGGAGCTTTCAGTCCTACCTTCTGATTTCCAGGGAGGGGAGAGAGGCTGGAGGTTGAATCAATCACCAGTGGCCAATGTTTTAATCAGGTATGCTTTTGTAATAAAGCCTTCATAAAAACCCAAAAGTAGGATGGGGTTGGTGAACGCATGGAGATTCAGAGGGAATGGAAGCTCAGTGCCTTTTCCCCACACCTTGCCCTATACATCTCTTCCATCTGGCTGTTCTGAGTTACATTCTTTTATAATAAATTGGTAACCTAGTAAGTAAATGTTTACCTGAGTTCTGAGAGCTGCTCTAGCAAAGGACCAAAGGAGGAGGTTGTGGGAACATCTGATCTATAGCCAGTTGGTCAGAAGTGCAGGTTGCCGTCTAGACTTGCGATTGGCATCCAGAGCTGGAGGGGGTTGTTGGAACCTCCAGTTGATACCTAGTTGGTCAGAATCTGGGCTTGTGACTGGCCTCTGCCCTGGAGGGAGGGGGCAGTCTTATAGTATTGAACCCATAACCTGTGTAATCTGATGGTGTCTCTGGGCAGATAGTGTCAAAATTGAGTTGAATTGTAGAATATGGAGTTTGTGTCTGAGAATTGCTTGTTGGATGTGAGGGAAATCCCCCTATCCCCCATTGTATTTGGGTTCCTGAATCACCCTTTCACTTCCCTAGAGATGTTCAGAGTCAGGTGGGTAGGTCAGACTTGTAAATATATACTACATTAAAATATAGTGTGCTATAAACCAAGAAGACTGGGAACACAAAAGACTCGTAGTTCAGACAAGAAAGGCTTAGAGTATCACATTAACGATAACATGTTTGTTCTAAAAGGAGTGTGGGGAGGATTTACTAGGCAGATAAGGAGGAGAGGAGAGTGTTCCAGTGACGGGAAATAGCATGAAGAAAGGCCAAGAGTTCTTTGTGGTATGTTGAGGATGTAAGTGTGACTGGAATACAGGGTGCATGGTTAAGGTGGAGCAGTAGATGATGATGTAGGAATAAACTGGGCCAGATTGTGAGCCAAAGTAACGTGTGAGGGTTTTATCTTTTGGCCAGTGGAGGTTTTTAAGGAGGGACTTTACATGATCAGGTATATTGTTTAAGAAGACAAATATGGAGGCAGCATGGAGTTTGGATTAGAACAAGGAGAGGCTGGTGGTAGCAAGACCACACGGACAGCGTGTATGTGCCCTAGCCTTACTTCAGTTTATGACACTTATTTGAAGTGTTGTTGCATAAAGCTCGTTGCAGTGGTCTAGGCAAGGGATGATGAGGCTTGTCTAAGTTACTAAATTTGAGAGCCACATTGAGTAAAAATCAACAAAATGTAACGACGAATTGTATATTGGGATAAATAAGGAAGAGTTTGACAGTGAGTCTGGTTTCTAGTTCAGAGATCCTGAGACTGGCAAACAGCAGATTTAGTGGGGAAGGTAATGAATGAATTCCATTTTGGGTATGGTAAGGTTTGGGTGCATTTTAGTCATATAAAGAAGGGTGAATTTTGAGACATGGAATTTGCCTGGGGGTGCAAGAACACGTAAATCCATCTTCAGCTGGTCACAGAGAACAACAGGGTAGGCCCTGGCTTCATACTTCAGTGCAGCTCTGTGATGAACGAGGCTGGGCCAACTGCGGGAATCCTTTTTACTTGACTAAAACCAAAGTAGGCAGGTCCTATTTCAGTTTCTCCCTAAGCTCACACTCAACCTGAGATCTTAAAAAGAAAGTGCAGGAAATGAACCAGAAAACATTCGTGGCAATTCCTAGAGCAAATTTTATCTCAGTCATCCATTCTAAGCTTTTTTAGTATTGAGGCAGTTCCCAAGGGGGAGGGTCCCTGTTACCCCACATACTTCACAACTTTTAGTAGTGTTGAAACTTTTGCCACTCTGGGGTGTGTGAAATGATGTTTTGTTGTGGTTTTAATTTGAATTTACTTCATTATTGAAAGCTTAAGCATATTTTCATCTTTACTGGCCATTTATATTTCCTTTTCTAGGATATTTGCTGTGTCATTTCTATATTTCATTTGATTTTTTTTCTTATATATTCTGTATTTTGGGTTTTTTTTCTCAAGTGTTCCCTATTCTGGAAGCTAACCTTTGTACGATTGTAAATATCTTCTCCCAGTTTATGGACTATCTTTTCACATCTTAAGATGTCTTTTTTTTTTTAAGTTTGTTTATGTATGTATGTATGTAATCTCTATACCCAATGTGTGGCTTGAACTTGAGACCCTAAGATCAAGAGTCGCATGCTTTTCGACTGAGCTAGCCAGGGGCCCCACATCTTCAGGTATCCTGATGAACAGGATAAAATAGTGAAATTTATTAATCATTCTCCTTTATAATTTGTGCTTTTTGTATCTTTAAGAAATTCTTCCCTACTCCAAGTCACAAAGGTATTTTCCTAAGATTTTCTTCTAAAAATTTTATGATTTGTTTTTCCTACTTAAGTCCTTCTTAAAATTGAATTTTATATATAACATGTGAGATAAGGATTTATTTTAAATTTTTTTCACATGGGTAATCAGTTGTTTCAATCCATTTATTGAATAGTGTATTTTACCCCACTAATCTGCGTTATCAGCTCTATCTCAGGTTTTCATATATGCATGGGTCTGTTTCTGATTGTTCATTCTGATCAATTGGTCCACTACTGCTATGTCTTACTATTATAATTTTATAATAAGGCTTGATATATTGTGAGGCAAATTCTCCTACCTGATATTTCCACTTCAGGGATGTTTTAGGTAT